GAGCCTCAAAAGTTGTTTCATAAGCAAAATTTTGAGATAATTTTATTACAGGTGATAATCACCTGTGGTGTAAATTAACAAACTCCTAATATAAAAATCGCTTTATTTTCTTAAATATAAGATCTTATCGAGTAATTTAACAAAATTTATAAACAAATTAGCGCTTTGCAAAAAGATGTGAACACTGCAGATCATTTGTCATGTGAGAATCGGAGATTTTGCGATTTCAAAGAATCTTAAAGATTTTTTAAATATATGTAATATTTCTAATTAATATGATATATACGTAATTATATTTTATTTGAATAATCTCAATGATTCTCCACTATCATAATCACAAAAATCACATGTTTACATCTTTTTGCAAAGCGCTATAATATGTAAGTTATGGAAGAGATACGATTTGAAATTAGTAGTTTTCTATATGACTTCAAATCATATCTCTTCCATAACTTACATATTAACCTGTTTATAAATTTTGCCAAATTACTCGATAAGATCTATATTGTAAGAAAATAAAGCGATTTTTTTATTAATTTAAAGTTTTTTTAATAAATTTTTAGTATTTTACTATAGATTTTCACGATTGTTACACAAAAAATTATTCATATGGGACTATACTTACGATACCCTAACGATACGGCCATGCAAATTTAACTAAGAAATTAAATTCGTATGGCTTAATGCCTTGTGCGAACTTGATTTTATTTGCATTAATTTAGTATTTAAAATAAGTCATTTACACAATTAAGGATTGATGCCGCGTAACTTTTTTTAACCATTTAACCGTTTAATTCAGCCAGCATAAATAATTCTGGCACATAACTAATATAATTTGGCCTGAAACTATTAACTTTAAGCGGTTAAACGGTTTCAATTCATGTCACGTTCTCAAATATTAAAAAAGTTGTTAACATAACATTGGATAATTAAAATAACATCATAAAATAGGGGCGCCGGCCTACTCTTGTAATTTATATACTCACATGACAGGTGATTATCGATCTATAATCTACTTTACTGAAAACTGAGGTAAATATCCTCGAAAGCCTTACCAAAAAACACTTGCCGAATCTCAAACCTCTGGTCCCTTAAACGTGTTGCAAAGATTGTTTTGATGAAAGATATAACGTTTTCTTTGATGGGAGAGATGATTAATAGGGAAAGTCTCTGTCTTAAGTATCCAAGTAATATGAGATCGTGTGATTGTTTCTGCTTTAGACCAGTATTAAGATGATTTTTATCGGGTTTTTCGAATCTGTGAGTTGGTTATATCATTACGTATTTTCTCACGCCCGATAGTTGAAGAATTTTTAAAGAATGCTCCTAAAATTCAGGTTCGTGGTGGAAAAAATTATTTCAATGTCTGTTGATATTAAGGATGGAATTAGTATTTTGCCAGTGATTGAAGATCGGACTCCATCAACACCAATGATTTCATCAACATACTCATCACCAAAAAATTATTAGACACTACTGTAAAATATGTAAATTTTTATTCTGTATTTTGTTTTTATTTATTTTGTGTTTTATTTTTATTTTTATTAACTAGAACATGATCATGTAGGCGGCTTCGCCGCCTTGAATTAATAGTAAAGATATTTATATTAGTTAACTAACTTGCACTTACATTATAAATCTTCTTAATGGCTAAAGATTGAACCCAAGTAGAAATTAGTACTGCATAGTGTCACGGGGAGTTTTGACACGAGATAGCAATTATTACCAAACCGTCAAGAATGTAAAGACGGAAAATACGGTAAAATTGGTTTATCGTGTAAAAAATGGAAATTAAGAGAAATAAGTAAATAGTGACAAAAATGTAAAGAGCCAAAAGTTATAAAAAGACCTTTGGTTTTGCTCTTGTTAACGATAACCCTCAGGTTTCGAACATTTAAAATATTAAATAAATAAAATTGATCTTTTTAATTAAATAATCAAAACTCCATTCTTTATTAAGTTATCTTTATAAAAGTTACATTGTTAATTGCATAAATTATTGCTTTCCCTTGTTTAATAAAATCTACGATCCAATAAACCCGTGATTCACGTGACCCACCCCCTCGTTAGTTAAATAACTCCTTACATAATTAAAGAAATAAGTTGGTGACTTGTATAAGGAACGATATAGAGAAAGCTATAAGATAAAAAGGAACTTATCTTACTCGACCAAATCGTACGCCTCAGCTGAGAGAGCCTTAACCGCTTAGATATTTCTTTACATTACGCAAGAAACCTGATTCTGGACCGACAGAGTCAGATAATTTTGTTATTGTTTGTTGGTTGATATTTCCGCCGGTGACAATAGCGAACTTTATTATGATTAATTTTTGTAGATCATTCTGTTTAAAACTAAATTAATGTCAAATTGTTTATGCAAAACTAAATAGAATTAAAAATATGTTATCATAAATCATACTGTAGTAGTTACCCTTTCTTTTAGCTTTAAATATAGTAGTAAATCTCCTACTATCTATTCAAATTATTCTACCAAATCTTTGGAGATAAAGAAGCTATACAAGAACCTAAATTAGAAGCTTCTGGTAGCAAGAATTTAGTAGTCTACTAGTTGCTAAAACAAGCTAAAAAATTGTCCTAAATTTAGTAGACTTTTTTTTAGAAAACCTAACTAAACAAGGCTTATAACCTCTATAAAGTTTTCTATTGTTGAGCTGAGTAGTAAAAGACTATAGAGATATAAATACACATATATTAATAGCCTTTATTGAGTAAGATATATCAGGAAAATCTGCACAAATCCAGACTTGTTTAAATGCTTTGTCTAAAAATAGAAAAGAGCAGAACTATAGAACTAAACAGATAGTTATAAATTTGAGATAATAAGAAGCCTGAGATTATTTAGAGTACAAGATTATAAGGCACTATAGCTTTATGGTCCCTTCTTACAAATAGTACTAAAATAATAGCATGATGATTTATCTAGTCATACAAACTCAATTTTTTGGTAGCAAGATCTAGTATTAGTTATACTTGAATTTCATATAATAAGGAAACCTGAAAAGCTAAGTTTGTTAAGATTAAAAAATATTGAGAAAAAAGATAGTCTACTATAAATTAAAATTAAAAGGTCTAAGAATAACCTTTTTGCTAATAGTAAATTTGTTTTAGTGAAATATATAGACAGTATATTTTGTTTAGTTTGACTATTAAAAAAGTATCTAAAGGTCAGATTTATAACTAACTTAGATAAACTCTTGTTTTTGTCTAATACTAAAGATAAGATAATAGTAGTAGCAATTTTAATAGTAGTAAAGATATGAGAGTAAATCAATAGAAATAAAGCAAATTGTTTTTATTGAAATTTTTTTGAAACTTAAACTACAATAACTTAACAAAAACTTTATCAAATTTAATAAAAAATTTTTTAAATGAATTCTACAATTTTAATATTTATTTTAAAAAAATTTTTTATTAATTTTGTTTATATTTTTGTTAAGTTATTGTTGGTTAAAGTTTCAAAAAAATTTACTTAGAAAAAATTTGCTTGATTTCTATTAACTCAACTCTATATGATCACTAATGCAGATATTCAAAACTACTTTACTTTACATAGCTTATAAATCAATAGTATTGCAATAGTAATGAAGAGTAGTATAAGCTCAACACAAATTAAAACTATTAGATATTAGAACTCTAAAGTAGTTCTTTTATATTTAAGGTCTATAGTTACAATGATTTTTTTTTGAAATTTGATATGATAGAGTAAACTAAGCTTTAGCTTGTAATGTTGCAAATGTTATATACATTTTTAGTACAATTAAAAATCTTTTACTACTCAGTAAAACTTATGTTTAGTTAGTCATTAGTTTTTATTATTCTTATGAATAAAATTAGTATTCAGATAAGTAATAAAATAGAGAAATTTCAAGAACACAGAACCTAGTAATTATCACATCACAAGATCAAAAACTCAGTCTAGGTTAGGGTTAGTTTAGGCAGCTAGTTTATTAGTGCTAATATTATTACATAATTTTATATGATATAATGATCACTAGGTTCTATATTCTTGAAGTCTTCCATAAAATGTAAACTACTCAAAACAAAGTCACAAGTAGCCTTTTTAGTTATAAATAAATTCATCAAAACAAATTTACTTATACTATATACTATAATAATATAGATTAGTAATTTACATTATTCTTGCTCAGATTACTTTATTAAAACCTTATATATAACATTATAGGAGTAGTGTGCTTACTACAAGTCATACAAGTCATATAATAAATGTATAAAGAGTATATATAGTCATAGTATAATAAATATAAATAAGAGAAAACATCTATATATATATTTTATAAATTTAAATATATAGATACAAAGATTTACTATAATAATATAGTGTCTACTGTAAATAGCTAATTTGACCCTTTAGAAATACTGCACTTCAACATAGAATAATGTTCTATTTTTTGTTTGTAGATTCTTGTTAAGCTTGTTTATAGCCTTACTTTTTCATTAAATGTTAGATATTGTTGTAATATAAATTAGTTTATTATTATAAGTCACAGGTTTTCACTAAATTATTATTTTTTCTTTTCTTTTATTATTTATTATCTTTTATTTTTAGTATTATTTAGTTTTTTTATGATTTCAATTACACTTTATATAGTTATTTGTTTGTTAGACTGCTTATACCTTTATTTACATTTAAAAATTATAATAATAATCTATATAAATATTAAGGTGAGCAGTAGAGCTAGGACATATATTCAATAAATCCTAATTAGATAGAATTGTATAACAATATAAGTATTGTAGCTTCATATTACCTTAGAATAGCTTAAATGTAAGTGAAACAACTGCTCATGAAAGAGTAAACAGCTACTCATAAAGATATAAGCAATTTTATTATTTAGAATTTACTTAGCATAGTCTTTGTGAACTAAATTAGATAAATATAGATTCTTTTTGCTTTTTTAAAAGTTACAAAGTTATGAATAAAGTTATGAAATAAATAAAATAATAATAACTACAAATTATCTTTTTTTTTTTTTTTTTTTTTTATTAATTGATAATATCAGTTAGGAAAAGATTAGTACATTTATATATCAGGGTGGTATATATGTGAAGCTAATGTATATTCCTAATATGCACTGTTGTTACTAATACTATTTGTTAATAGTTAGGCATCCAATGTGATATTACACTCTCATTTTCTATTTGCTAGCTGATTTAAACAAAGTTACTATCAACTATAGAGGAGGTTAAGGGAGACTTCTAGAAAAAGGAGAAGATTAATTATAAAAAACAATTATATATAGAAAAGTTTTGAAGTAAACATTTTTGAATATAAGTATCTATATTAGTATTATAGGTTAT